TAAAGTAAAAGACCGCTTCTTAAACCAGAGAAGGTGAACATGTTGGTATTCTTGTGGGGGAAAAAAACATGCAAGTCCTGTCACCGACAGCCAGTTTAGTTTTACTTTTCTTTTTAAAAAGCTTGTTATCTTTGCTGTTTACCTCACTTTACGCTATGGAGGCTTTCTTTAATTTTTTTGTTTTTTATTTAGCCTATTTGATTCCTCAGTGTTTGCTAAACATTCTGTAATTTATTAGTCGGTATATAATATAGCATGAGGTGTATGCCATGCCTCAGCTTATTCGTTTTTGTTAATAAACGTTATGTAAGCTAGTTTGTCATTATAGCCTACTGTTTTATTGTTGTTGTGCTTTTTAATTAAGAATAACAATGAATCAATCTTTTGTTTTAGTCTTAAAAAGTGAAAGGTGTATAGATATAAGCAAAACAGACAATTATCTTTTTTTTTTGTAAAGCGTGACACCATGATTGTGAATTCGAAAGTGAAAGTGTCCAAAGTCCGACTTACAACACAACAAAAGAGGAATTCCCCTTCACTAAATTTAAATCACAAATAATACTGATAAAAAAGAACGGGTTGAATGTTGAACACTTTTGTTACCATATAACTATAAACTATGATAAAAGTTCATTAGCATGCATTGATTAATCCCATGCAAAAAACTAAAAATAAAATAAAAATAAAAATGCGTCCAACTGAGAACTTACAACACAACAAAAGAGGAATTCCCCTTCACTAAATTTAAATCACAAATAATACTGATAAAAAAGAACGGGTTGAATGTTGAACACTTTTGTTACCATATAACTATAAACTATGATAGAAGTTCATTAGCATGCATTGATTAATCCCATGCAAAAAAATAAAAATAAAATAAAAATAAAAATGCGTCCAACTGAGAAAGTTACTCGCAAAAGAGCGACCAGTGGGAAGAATGAGTCTACAGCCCTGGTAATGCTAAATTTCTCCAAATCTGTTCCAATGAGAAAAAAACTTCTTGGACGGCCTGAGCTTGAGTACATTTTCAGCAAATTTTCATTTTTGGGTGGTTAGTTGGTTGGTGTATTTAAATATATTGACATTGCAACTTCCCTGGCTATTACATGGTAGATACAAATTATACATCAATATAATATAATAAATATAACATAAGTACAAATATTTTATAAAATGTCACTTTCAAAATAAAAATATAATATTTTATACATACAAAAGATTCTTTGTACTTGTCATAAAAAGATTTTATTGGGTACTTACAAACTAAGTCCTTAAAACAAATTTTTGGGTGAACTGTTCCCTTAATTAATTTATTTTAAACCGCTGTCTGTTGATCAAGGTTCAAACTTAGGCCCCGTCCACACGGAGACACGTTTAGTTGTATATGTAAAAAATTTTGTATCGGTATTTCGTCCAGATGGATCTGGCGTTTTGGGAGTGTGAGGCCATGTCCACACATACACAGGTATTTTTATAAAAAAAGAGTTTTTCCTTCTTCCGTTTAAAAAAAAATCTCTGTCCACATGAAATTGCAAAAGCATGCTATGAAGCACTGTCAAGAGCATGCCAAGCCAACAGGTGGCGATATAATCTCAACCGTAAAGCCATGTTGGCCAATCAGAAGCCTGAAAAAGTTTCCAGTAGGCGGAGATAACAGCGCAGGCGCTGACGTCACAAGCCAAAATCTCCAGTTTTACGGTCTACATGATAACACTGCAACCAGAGTTGTTGAAAATCTTCACCCTGGCAGGAGTTTTCAAAAATGTTCGGTTTCAGTGACCTGGTGCTGCGTTTGCGTGTGGACGAATGGCCAAACCTCATAGAAAAAGCTGCAGTTTTGAAAATACCTGCGTTCGTGTGGACAGGGCCTGAAACTGCTATTTTTTAAAATCGGGTCCCAGAGTGGATAAATCTGAAAACGACAGCCTTGCGTTTTCGTGTGTAAAGCCAATCCGTATATTTTGTGAAATGATGTTATCACCCCACGTCTCGGCCCTAGTCAGACACTGCTACGTCACGTAACAGCAACAACAACATGAACAAACACTGAGTGATTGTCTTTTTAATAACTAACATTAGCACAGATTAATAAATGTATTGTTCCATGTTCATTTTCTTCTTGTTGTGTTGACTTTGTATACAGTGTGCAAGGTTTATGCACATGCTCCAAGTCTTTTTCTCTGCTTTTAGTGCATCTCTGTGGCAGAAATACAACGCCACATACTGGTCTGGCATGTATACTACATCGTTTCGTGTGGACGCAGATATTTCTTGAGACAAGGAAAAAAGAGTTTGGATAGGGAAAGCTCTGGCTTCGTGTGGATGTGGCCTTAGTGACCTCTTATAATTTGATGCAAGATATATTTCTGTGAGCCACAGCTCGCAATTTTATAGCTGCAATGTTCCCCAATCAGGGTTCTGTGGCCCCCTAGTGGTCCAGACTGTGGTGTACCTATTTTACCGCTTAAAGGTCCCATGACATGCTGCTTTTTGGATGCTTTTATATAGGCTTAAGTGGTCCCTAGTACTGTATCTGAGGTCTCTTTCCCGAAATTCAGCCTTGGTGCAGAATTTCAGCCACTACGAGCCAGTCCCACAATGAGCTTTCCTTAGGACGTGCCATTTCTGTGTCTGTAGCTTTAAATGCTAATGAGGAGGAGAGAGGCGGGGCAACTGCCATGCTTCACTCGTTTGCAAGCCATGATGTCTCTCGAGGAAAAAAAAATATTGCGCTCGCCTCGCACGGTAGTAGCTCATTTTCTCATGGGCGGGCCAAATTCTCTGGGCGGGCAAAGCAGAGAAAGGGGAGGTAACCTTTCCCCGTATGACGACATAAAAGGAAGATTCCAGATTGGGCCATCTGAGCTTTCATTTTCTCAAAGGCAAAGCAGGATACCCAGGGCTCGGTTTACACCTATCGCCATTTCTAGCCACTGGGGGACCATAGGCAGGCTAGGGGAACTCATATTAATGTTAAAAAACCTCATAAAGTGAAATTTTCATGCCATGGGACCTTTAAATGGGTAGTTCATATATGTGTTAGTGACATATTCTGTTTAAATCCACAGGTGAGAAAAATGTCAAGGCAAAATGAAAGGCTAGAAAAAAAAGAGTGAATAACATGTATGATACTTTATTTTCAACATCAAATGTGTTCAATGAGTTCATTCAATGAAGAAATCGTCAGACTGATTCAAACAAGTAGTCTGGATTTCGAATCTAAAACAGTTACTAAAACTTCACAATTCAGGTAAAACATTGCCATGACTCAGGTTTTTAAAATTTATACCGCACAGAAAAATCTATTTTCATGCAACTAAAAATTAAATATGGAGAAGGACTTACTTCCATTGTTTCCTACGACAAAGTTGACATTTGGACCAAACGCAAAGGGACCAAGCATCGAGTGACACAGGAAGTTCCTTAGAGAGATACTCTCTATGATGCCCACTTCACCTGTGACCTGAAAACACACATACATAGATGTGTTTGGGGACATCACAAGCAAAAGTCTATGCAGTATGTGCATAAGGTATTACACATAAGGTATTTTACAGCAAAAATGAGCAGTCGAGACAGTTGTACTGTGATGTGCAAGTCTTACACTCGGTGATGTGCTCATAACATCTCCTGAACTGAAGTAGCCCGTTTCATCCTCTTCAGAGGGCTCGGGTTTGGATAACTGGCTTCTCTTATCAGGCGTCTGCCCTGAATTACTGCTCTTCCTCGTTGACATCTTCTACAAACATCAAACATTTATCTTTCACAATAAACAGTCATTTATAACCTTTATTGTCATTACACTGCCACGTCACAAGTGGGAATTTGTACATTTGTATGTTTTCTTTGTCTTGTTGCAAATAAAGTCTCTAGTTTTAGCTTAAAAACAATTAACACCAAATCTTATGAGATGAATCTAACCACTTAAAGTCGAAACATCTTTTCTTCTGTATTAGATCTGAGTGTAACGAATGATCAGAAAAGTACAAATGCAGGGCAGAGACTAAGCTTGATGCATTGGCTGCTGATTGGATTTTGAAACGTGGGCACTGCACCCAAATATGGAAGCAGATGAATGACAGTTCATGTGGACGGGTTTAAGCAGACTAAATGATTGGTCCAGTTATGACACTTTCATAAAAAAAAAATAATAATAAAATAAACATATGCACAGACAAACTGTTTACAGTAAGATCTATAATAAATAAATAAACCAATTTCCTTAAAGAAAAAAAATATTAAAAAGGTAATTGCAACTTTTTATCTCACAATTCAGACTTTGTTTCTTGTCAGGTATAAACTCATAATTCTGAACAATTTTTTTAATTGCAATTCCAAATGTATATCTCCAAATGTTTTTTCACTTGCTGTTTCAGCCACAGAAGAAAAAAGGGTAATTATGACTTAGGGATGGGCGATATGGGCTTAAAAATATATCACGATATTTCTGGTATTTGTTACGATAACGATATTAATGACGATAATTCAGGGAATCCTGTTTCTTTAGAGAAAAAGTATTATCTTTCCTATTTTTGCCCAAAATAGGGTGTTGTGAGCGTTAAAGGGGTCATATGATGCTGCTAAAAAGAACATTATTTTGTGTATTTGGTGTAATGAAATGTGTTTATGTGGTTTAAGGTTAAAAAAAAAAACAATATTTTCCACATACTGTACATTATTGTTTCTCCT